TCCCCCGTCTCTTCCCCGTCTCTTCCCCGTCTCTTCCCCGTCTCTCCCCCATGCCTCTCCCCCGTCTCTTCCCCGTCTCTCCCCCGTCTCTCCCCCATGCCTCTCCCCCGTCTCTTCCCCGTCTCTCCCCCGTCTCTTCCCCGTCTCTCCCCCATGCCTCTCCCCCGTCTCTTCCCCGTCTCTTCCCCGTCTCTTCCCCGTCTCTTCCCCGTCTCTCCCCCATGCCTCTCCCCCGTCTCTTCCCCGTCTCTTCCCCGTCTCTCCCCCGTCTCTCCCCGTCTCTCCCCCGTCTCTCCCCCGTCTCTTCCCCGTCTCTCCCCCATGCCTCTCCCCCGTCTCTCCCCCGTCTCTCCCCGTCTCTCCCCCGTCTCTCCCCCGTCTCTTCCCCGTCTCTCCCCCATGCCTCTCCCCCGTCTCTTCCCCGTCTCTCCCCCATGCCTCTCCCCCGTCTCTTCCCCGTCTCTTCCCCGTCTCTCCCCCGTCTCTCCCCGTCTCTCCTCCCCGTCTCTCCCCCGTCTCTTCCCCGTCTCTCCCCCATGCCTCTCCCCCGTCTCTTCCCCGTCTCTCCCCCGTCTCTCCCCCATGCCTCTCCCCCGTCTCTTCCCCGTCTCTCCCCCATGCCTCTCCCCCGTCTCTTCCCCGTCTCTCCCCCATGCCTCTCCCCCGTCTCTTCCCCGTCTCTCCCCCATGCCTCTCCCCCGTCTCTCCCCCGTCTCTCCCCCATGCCTCTCCCACGTATCTCCCAAGTCTCCACACGAAGCGCAGCCAAAACTCACTGAATAAAGCTCAGCTCGGCTTCCTCCGCTATATCGAAATAAGTGTTTCCATTGCCGTTTTGCGAAAAACTTAATTTCGATACGTCCAAAAAACCACCGATTTTAAGCGCATTAACTTTTTATCGAAAAACTGTGGTTTATTCGAAATTTGCGCGTTTCCATTAGACATTTTATGATGCGCAAATTCAAATTTCGAAATTTGATGCTCAATGGAAACGCAGCTTATGTCTCAGATAATATGGCCCTGACCTGCGGAGTGCCACAGGGGTCGATTCTGGGACCTCTCCTGTTCAATGTTTACATGCTGCCGTTAGGTCAGTTAATTCAAAGTATGAAAGTGTCCTACCACAATTACGCTGATGACACTCAGATCTATGTCTCACTGACTGCAGGAGAACATGGACCAGTGGACTCACTCCTTCACTGTATCCAACAGATCAGTGACTGGATGCAATACAATTTTCTCCAGCTAAATGCAGACAAAACCGAAATAATTGTCTTTGGTCCCCAGAAACAAAGAGAGACCGTCATTTATCACCTTCAGTCTCTCTCCCTAAGGCCTTTAAATAAGGTCAGAAATCTGGGAGTTCGATAAATCAATAGCACTCCCTCTTGGTTATGATGGTCTTCCCTCGTTACCTAATTTCCCATTTACATGGTCAATCTCAGGTTTTACATATTTGGGAATTTTTGTTTCCCCATGTATAGAAACTACCCTTAAAGTGAATCTTCATAATGTGTGTAAAAATATCAAAAGTGACCTGCTCAGATGGAGGGATTTGCCAATATCATGGATGGGCAGAATCAACCTGTTAAAAATGAATGTAATCCCAAGACTTTTGTACCCATTACAAATGTTACCTGTTTATTTGTCTAAAACAAAAGCTAAAGAGATTGAGAGAGACTTGAGTAAATTTATTTGGAAGGATAAATCTAGATTAAGGATGAGTGTTTTACAGTGTCCAAGAGACAGAGGTGGCTTTTCCTAACATTCTTTTATACAACTGGGCTTGTCAAGGCAGGGTCGTCCGGGAATGGTTTCAGTCTTATCTGAATGGACTCACAGACCCTTTGGAATCCTGGATGTCTACACCATACAATCTTCTGGGGGAAATGCTGGCCAAGAAGATTCAGCCAGAGATGCGGACCAATCCAATTTTGATAAATTATCTGAAAACCTGGAAGGACATGTCTGCTTATTTGGGACATAAGAGCAACGTATCTCCAGTTTTGCCTGTTGTGGACAGTAGGTTGTACCCCCCTGGTGTTAAAAGTGTTTACAGATTGGTATAAAAAGGGGATTTGTGTGATCAAAGATCTTTATGATGAAGGAGGTAATCTTATGTCTTTTGCTCAGGTACAGGGTCTTTTTAACCTGTCCAAGAACACTTTTTTTGCTTTCCTTCAACTTTGTCACTTTATCAATACTAACAAACTGCAAATGCCCTTGTTGAATCCAATTGAGTTATTTATGATCACATGTAAACTGTCAAAAGGTTTTATTTCACGTTGTTACAGCATGTTACAAAGCACTAAGAAAGACGGAATAGAGAAAATTGTTGGGAGACGGGAGGAAGATCTTCAGTGCACATTTACTGAAGATCAGTGGCAAAAATCCATAAAAAATATTCAAGCCATTTTTCTGAGTAATAAATACAGAGAAATGCATTTTAAAATTTTCCATAGGCATTTTAAAATGTTCCATAGGCCTCCTTATGTTCTTAACAAAATGGATCCTAATAGATCTTCAGCTTGTCTTAAGTGTTTACAGTCACCTGCTACCTTTATGCATTGCTTTTGGAATTGTCCCAAAATAGGCACATTTTGGTCTAATATTACTAAAGAAATTGGCACAATTCTGAAATGCACGACAGTTTCTGTTGTGTTTACCAACTAAAAATAGATACCCTCATTTAGAATTATTTAAAAAGTTCCTTTCCTTGGCTAAAAAATGTATTCTAAATAATTGGATCAAAGACAAACCTCCGACAGTTACAGAGTGGTATCGAGACATTTTTAATGTGCTTCCTATGGAAAGAATCAGTGCTGAAGGGAGATAATAGTGAGCTGTTCACTGAAACATGGCAGCCTCTTATAAATCATTTGCCTTCTCATCTGAAGATTACTATTATGAGAGGTTCGGGTTCTTTAAATTAAATTTTACTTTTATTTTCAATTTTATTTCATATGGACACTGGTTGAAAGGTATATATATATTTTTTTTTTTTTTCTGTAGTAGTAGTCTGCTCAGTGGTGTTGTCAAGGTCTGTCTGTTTTATAATGTTAAAAGCAAATAAAATAATTATTATTAAAAAAAAAAAAAAAAAAAAAAAAAAAAAGAAATCTGGGAGTAATAATGGACTCTGACTTAAACTTCAATAGCCACATTGGATCGGTAACATCAGCAGCTTTTTACCATCTGAAAAATATTGCCAAAATTAAAAATATTGTGTCCAAAGCAGACTTGGAGATTCTTATCCATTCTTTTGTTTCCAGTAGGCTAGATTACTGCAATGGCCTGCTCACAGGTATCTCCAAACATGCAGTAAAACAGCTGCAGTATATTCAAAATGCTGCAGCCCGAGTCCTGACTAGAACCAGGAAGTACGACCACATTAGTCCGGTCCTCAGGTCTCTGCACTGGCTTCCCGTGGCCCAGAGGATAGACTTTAAAGCAGCTCTCCTGGTGTACAAGTCTCTCCATGGCCTTGCACCAAAGTACATCCATGATATGCTAGTCCCATATGAACCAGCCCGGACTCTGAAGAGCGCAGGGACGGGACTCCTGTTAGTGCCCAGAGTCAGGACTAGACAGGGGGAGGCTGCTTTTCAGATTTATGCAGCTAAAGTCTGGAACAGTCTTCCTGAGGATGTGAGACTGGCTGCCTCTCTGTCGATGTTCAAATCCATGTTAAAGACTTTCCTTTTTTCCTGTGCATACAACTAGAGAATTGTATCTTTTTAACACACCTTGTTATTTATTGTTGTAACTTTTTGTGTTTTTAACTATTTTATTGTTTTTAATTACTTGTGTGATTCTTATGTTTTTAAATTACTTGTGTGATTTTAATGCTTTTTAATTACATATGTGTTTTTAATTGTATTTTAATGGTGATGATTTGTGCATTGTGTGGTGTGGACTGTGAGGCGCTTTGTGTTGCCCTGTGCAGGAAAAGTGCCCTATAAATAAAGATTGATTGATTGATTGATTGTATATCGCTGACCCTGTGTTTCAGGCGTGTGCAGCTGTATAATGCTGACCCTGTGTTTCAGGCGTGTGCGGCTGTATAATTCTGACCCTGTGTTTCAGACGTGTGCGGCTGTATAATGCTGACCCTGTGTTTCAGGCGTGTGCGGCTGCTGTGGTCCTCTCAGGCCTCGATACAAACGCTTGGTGGACAACATCTTCCCTGAGGATCCAAAAGTAAGGACTCCTTGGTCTACATGGTCTACATGGTCTACAGGGTCTACAGGGTCTACAGGGTCTTCAGGGCCTAGGGGTCTATTCTATATACACATATATAGACTATATACTACACATACTCTGTATATAATATATATACTCTGTATATGATATACTGTATATACTCTGTATATAATATATCAGAATCAGAATCATTTTTATTGCCACGTAAGTAACAGGAAGTCACAGACTTGGAAATTGCTTTGGCTCAGTGCAACAGTCAGAAAGAGATAATAAAAATAAGAATAAAAAACACTTCTAAAGAATAAATGTAAATTTAAAATAGAGTTACAGTTACTATTTACAATATACAAGTGCACATGGTGCACACAATGTAAGGTGACAGCAGTACAGTGAAGTAAAGTGACGTATGATGGGCAGTAAAGTGACTTTATAAAGGGCGGGGGGACAGGTTAAGAAGTGTTCAAGAGTCCAACAGCAGAGGGGAAGAAACTGTTCTTGTGGCGGGAGGTTCTAGTCCTGATGGACCGCAGCCTCCTGCCTGAGGGGAGTGGTTGGAATAGTCCATGTGCAGGTGAGAGGGGAGTGGTTGGAATAGTCCATGTGCAGGTGAGAGGGGAGTGGTTGGAATAGTCCATGTGCAGGTGAGAGGGGAGTGGTTGGAATAGTCCATGTGCAGGTGAGAGGGGAGTGGTTGGAATAGTCCATGTGCAGGTGAGAGGGGTCGGCTGTGATACGACCAGCCCGGCCTCGAGCTCGGGCGACGTACAGGTCCTGCAGCGATGGAAGGCTGCGGCCGATCACTTCCTCTGCAGAGACCACAATGCACTGTAGTCTCTGTTTGTCCCTGACTGTGGCTCCAGCGAACCACACGGTGATGGAGGAGGTGATGGAGGAGGTGATGGAGGAGGTGATGAGGAGGTGATGGAGGAGGTGATGGAGGAGGTGATGGAGGAGGTGATGGAGGAGGTGATGGAGGAGGTGGTGGAGGAGGTGATGAGGTGATGGAGGAGGTGATGGAGGAGGTGATGGAGGAGGTGATGGAGGAGGAGATGAGGAGGTGATGGAGGTGATGGAGGAGGTGATGGAGCAGGTGATGGAGGAGGTGATGGAGGAGGTGATGAGGAGGTGATGGAGGTGATGGAGGAGGTGATGGAGGAGGTGATGGAGCAGGTGATGGAGGAGGTGATGGAGGAGGTGATGGAGGAGGTGATGGAGGAGGTGAGGATGGACTCGATGATGGCCGTGTAGAACTGCAGCTTGGCTTTCCTGAGCTGCCGCAGGAAGTACATCCTCTGCTGGGCCTTCTTGATGAGGGAGCTGATGGTCGGCTCCCACTTGAGGTCCTGGGTGATGGTGGTGCCCAGGAAACGGAAGGACTCCACAGAGGTGATGGGGGAGTCCATCACGGAGGGTGGGGGCGGGGGGACAGTGCTCTTCCTGAAGTCCACAATCATCTCCACTGTCTTCTGGGCGTTCAGCTCCAGGTTGTTACCACTGCACCAGGACACCAGCCGGTCCACCTCCCTCCTGTAGGAGACACCAGGACACCAGCCGGTCCACCTCCCTCCTGTAGGAGACACCAGGACACCAGCCGGTCCACCTCCCTCCTGTAGGAGACACCAGGACACCAGCCGGTCCACCTCCCTCCTGTAGGAGACACCAGGACACCAGCCGGTCCACCTCCCTCCTGTAGGAGACACCAGGACACCAGCCGGTCCACCTCCCTCCTGTAGTAGACACCAGGACACCAGCCGGTCCACCTCCCTCCTGTAGGAGACACCAGGACACCAGCCGGTCCACCTCCCTCCTGTAGGAGACACCAGGACACCAGCCGGTCCACCTCCCTCCTGTAGGAGACACCAGGACACCAGCCGGTCCACCTCCCTCCTGTAGGAGACACCAGGACACCAGCCGGCCCACCTCCCTCCTGTAGGAGACACCAGGACACCAGCCGGTCCACCTCCCTCCTGTAGGAGACACCAGGACACCAGCCGGTCCACCTCCCTCCTGTAGGAGACACCAGGACACCAGCCGGTCCACCTCCTCCTGTAGGAGACACCAGGACACCAGCCGGTCCACCTCCCTCCTGTAGGAGACACCAGGACACCAGCCGGTCCACCTCCCTCCTGTAGGAGACACCAGGACACCAGCCGGTCCACCTCCCTCCTGTAGGCGGACTCATCGTTGTTGGAGATGAGTCCAATGAGGGTGGTGTCGTCCGTGAACTTGATCAGCTTCACGGAGTCGTGGCTGGAGGTGCAGTGGTTGGTGTACAGGGAGAAGAGCAGGGGAGAAAGAACACAGCCCTGTGGGGCTCCTGTATTTATAATCCGAGAGTCCGAGACATTCTTCCCCAGACGCACTCGCTGCTTCCTGTCCGTCAGGAAGTCAGTGATCCACCTGCAGGTGGAATCGGGCACGTTGAGCTGGGAGAGCTTGTCCTGGAGCAGGGATGGCAGGATTGTGTTGAAGGCAGAGCTGAAGTCCACGAACAGGACCCTGGCGTAGGTCCCCGGGGAGTCCAGGTGCTGTAGGATGTGGTGGAGGGCCAGGTTAATGGCGTCGTCTACAGATCTGTTGGCTCTGTAGGCAAACTGCAGGGGGTCCAGGAGGGGGGAGGTGAGGGACTTGAGATGGGAGAGAACCAGGCGTTCAAATGACTTCATGTTGACAGACGTAAGTGCTACAGGTCTGTAGTCATTGAGTCCTGTGATCCTGGGCTTCTTCGGGACGGGGACAATGATGGAGGATTTGAAGCAGGCCGGGACATGGCAGGACTGCAGAGAGGTGTTGAAAATGTCCGTGAACACAGGAGTAAGCTCACTGGCGCAGTGTCTCAGAGTGGCCGGAGACACGTGGTCCGGGCCAGGAGCTTTGCGGGGGTGCAGCCTCAAGAAGAGTTGTTTAATCTCTTTAGCGGCTATTGTTAGGCTGGGGGCAGGGCTGATGGGTGGGTCGTTAGAGTAGTGGGGGGTGGGGGAGGGAGAGGTGTCAGGAGCAGCATCAAAGCGACTGAAAAATAAGTACTCTGTATATGATATACTGTATGTACTCTGTATATGATATATATACTCTGTATATAATATATATACTCTGTATATAATATATATACTCTGTATATGATATACTGTATATACTCTGTATATGATATACTGTATATACTCTGTATATGATAAATATATATTCTGTACCTACAGTCACATTATAAAGTGCTAAAATAAATCTAGGCCTTAACTTTAAGTTTGGTTTAATATTTCTCAAAACAAAGAGTTCGGAAAAAAGTGGCACCCTGTAGAAAAACACAATACACTCAGCTGTCCACGAGTCCATGGTTCTGTCCATGGTTCTGTCCACGAGTCCATGGTTCTGTCCATGGGTCCATGTTCTATCCACGAGTCCATGGTTCTGTCCATGGTTCTGTCCATGGGTCCATGTTCTGTCCACGAGTCCATGGTTCTGTCCATGGTTCTGTCCACGAGTCCATGGTTCTGTCCATGGGTCCATGTTCTGTCCACGAGTCCATGGTTCTGTCCATGGTTCTGTCCATGGTTTTGTCCATGGTTCTGTCCACAAGTCCATGGTTCTGTCCATGGTTCTGTCCACGAGTCCATGGTTCTGTCCATGGTTCTGTTCATTGTTCTGTCCATGGTTCTGTTCATGGTTCTGTCCATGGTTCTGTCCACGAGTCCATGGTTCTGTCCATGGTTCTGTCAATGGTTCTGTCCATGGGTCCATGTTCTGTCCACGAGTCCATGGTTCTGTCCACGAGTCCATGGTTCTGTCCATGGTTCTGTCCACGCGTCTATGGTCCGTGTGTCTATGGTCCGTGTGTCTATGGTCCGTGTGTCTATGGTCCGCGTGTCTATGGTCCGCGTGTCTATGGTCCGCGTGTCTATGGTCCGCGTGTCTATGGTCCGCGTGTCTATGGTCCGCGTGTCTATGGTCCGCGTGTCTATGGTCCGCGTGTCTATGGTCCGTGTGTCTATGGTCTGCGTGTCTATGGTCCGTGTGTCTATGGTCTGCGTGTCTATGGTCTGCGTGTCTATGGTCTGCGTGTCTATGGTCTGTGTGTCTATGGTCCGCGTGTCTATGGTCCGCGTGTCTATGGTCCGCGTGTCTATGGTCCGCGTGTCTATGGTCTCTGTGTCTATGGTCCGCGTGTCTAGCGTGTCTATGGTCCGCGTGTCTATGGTCCGCGTGTCTATGGTCCGCGTGTCTATGGTCCACGTGTCTATGGTCCGTGTGTCTATGGTCCGCGTGTCTATGGTCCGCGTGTCTATGGTCCGCGTGTCTATGGTCCGTGTGTCTATGGTCCGCGTGTCTATGGTCCGCGTGTCTATGGTCCGCGTGTCTATGGTCCGCGTGTCTAGCGTGTCTATGGTCCGTGTGTCTATGGTCCGCGTGTCTATGGTCCGTGTGTCTATGGTCCGCGTGTCTATGGTCCGCGTGTCTATGGTCCGCGTGTCTATGGTCCGCGTGTCTATGGTCCGTGTGTCTATGGTCCGCGTGTCTATGGTCCGCGTATCTAGCGTGTCTATGGTCCGCGTGTCTAGCGTGTCTATGGTCCGCGTGTCTAGCGTGTCTATGGTCCGCGTGTCTATGGTCCGCGTGTCTATGGTCCGTGTGTCTATGGTCCGCGTGTCTATGGTCCGCGCGTCTAGCGTGTCTATGGTCCGTGTGTCTATGGTCCGCGTGTCTATGGTCCGCGTGTCTAGCGTGTCTATGGTCCGTGTGTCTATGGTCCGCGTGTCTAGTGTGTCTATGGTCCGCGTGTCTAGCGTGTCTATGGTCCGCGTGTCTAGCGTGTCTATGGTCCGCGTGTCTATGGTCCGCGTGTCTATGGTCCGCGTGTCTAGCGTGTCTATGGTCCGCGTGTCTAGCGTGTCTATGGTCCGCGTGTCTATGGTCCGCGTGTCTATGGTCCGCGTGTCTATGGTCCGCGTGTCTATGGTCCGCGTGTGTCTATGGTCCGTGGGTCTATGGTCCGCGTGTCTATGGTCCGCGTGTCTATGGTCCGCGTGTCTATGGTCCGCGTGTCTATGGTCCGCGTGTCTAGCGTGTCTATGGTCCGCGTGTCTAGCGTGTCTACGGTCCGTGTGTCTATGGTCCGCGTGTCTATGGTCCGCGTGTCTATGGTCCGCGTGTCTATGGTCCGCGTGTCTAGCGTGTCTATGGTCCGTGTGTCTATGGTCCGCGTGTCTAGTGTGTCTATGGTCCGTGTGTCTATGGTCCGCGTGTCTAGCGTGTCTATGGTCCGCGTGTCTAGCGTGTCTATGGTCCGCGTGTCTATGGTCCGCGTGTCTATGGTCCGCGTGTCTAGTGTGTCAATGGTCCGCGTGTCTATGGTCCGCGTGTCTATGGTCCGCGTGTCTATGGTCCGTGTGTCTATGGTCCGCGTGTCTATGGTCCGTGTGTCTATGGTCCGCGTGTCTATGGTCCGCGTGTCTAGTGTGTCTATGGTCCGTGTGTCTATGGTCCGCGTGTCTATGGTCCGCGTGTCTATGGTCCGCGTGTCTATGGTCCGCGTATCTAGCGTGTCTATGGTCCGCGTGTCTAGCGTGTCTATGGTCCGCGTGTCTATGGTCCGCGTGTCTATGGTCCGCGTGTCTATGGTCCGTGGGTCTATGGTCCGCGTGTCTATGGTCCGCGTGTCTAGCGTGTCTATGGTCCGTGTGTCTATGGTCCGCGTGTCTATGGTCCGCGTGTCTATGGTCCGCTTGTCTATGGTCCGCGTGTCTATGGTCCGCGTGTCTAGCGTGTCTATGGTCCGTGTGTCTATGGTCCGCGTGTCTAGTGTGTCTATGGTCCGTGTGTCTATGGTCCGAGTGTCTAGCGTGTCTATGGTCCGCGTGTCTAGCGTGTCTATGGTCCGCGTGTCTAGCGTGTCTACGGTCCGTGTGTCTATGGTCCGCGTGTCTATGGTCCGCGTGTCTAGCGTGTCTATGGTCCGCGTGTCTATGGTCCGCGTATCTAGCGTGTCTATGGTCCGCGTGTCTAGCGTGTCTATGGTCCGCGTGTCTATGGTCCGCGTGTCTATGGTCCGCGTGTCTATGGTCCGTGGGTCTATGGTCCGCGTGTCTATGGTCCGCGTGTCTAGCGTGTCTATGGTCCGTGTGTCTATGGTCCGCGTGTCTATGGTCCGCTTGTCTATGGTCCGCGTGTCTATGGTCCGCGTGTCTAGCGTGTCTATGGTCCGTGTGTCTATGGTCCGCGTGTCTAGTGTGTCTATGGTCCGTGTGTCTATGGTCCGAGTGTCTAGCGTGTCTATGGTCCGCGTGTCTAGCGTGTCTATGGTCCGCGTGTGTCTAGCGTGTCTATGGTCCGCGTGTCTAGCGTGTCTACGGTCCGTGTGTCTATGGTCCGCGTGTCTATGGTCCGCGTGTCTAGCGTGTCTATGGTCCGTGTGTCTATGGTCCGCGTGTCTAGTGTGTCTATGGTCCGTGTGTCTATGGTCGCGTGTCTATGTCTATGGTCCGCGTGTCTAGCGTGTCTATGGTCCGCGCGTGTCTATGGCCGCGTGTCTATGGTCCGCGTGTCTATGGTCCGCGTGTCTATGGTCCGCGTGTCTATGGTCCGCGTGTCTATGGTCCGCGTGTCTATGGTCCGCGTGTCTATGTCCGCGTGTCTATGGTCCGTGTGTCTATGGTCCGCGTGTCTATGGTCCGCGTGTCTATGGTCCGCGTGTCTATGGTCCGCGTGTCTATGGTCCGCGTGTCTATGGTCCGCGTGTCTATGGTCCGCGTGTCTATGGTCCGCGTGTCTATGGTCCGCGTGTCTAGTGTGTCTATGGTCCGCGTGTCTATGGTCCGCGTGTCTATGGTCCGCGTGTCTATGTGTGTCTATGGTCCGCGTGTCTATGGTCCGCGTGTCTATGGTCCGCGTGTCTATGGTCCGCGTGTCTAGCGTGTCTATGGTCCGTGTGTCTATGGTCCGCGTGTCTATGGTCCGCGTGTCTAGCGTGTCTATGGTCCGCGTGTCTATGGTCTGTGTGTCTATGGTCCGCGTGTCTAGCGTGTCTATGGTCCGTGTGTCTATGGTCCGCGTGTCTATGGTCCGCGTGTCTAGCGTGTCTATGGTCCGCGTGTCTAGCGTGTCTATGGTCCGCGTGTCTATGGTCCGCGTGTCTATGGTCGTGTCTATGGTCCGCGTGTCTATGGTCCGCGTGTCTATGGTCCGCGTGTCTATGGTCCGCGTGTCTATGGTCCGCGTGTCTATGGTCCGCGTGTCTATGGTCCGCGTGTCTATGGTCCGCGTGTGTCTATGGTCCGCGTGTCTAGCGTGTCTATGGTCCGCGTGTCTAGCGTGTCTATGGTCCGCGTGTCTATGGTCCGCGTGTCTATGGTCCGCGTGTCTATGGTCCGTGTGTCTATGGTCCGCGTGTCTATGGTCCGTGTGTCTATGGTCCGCGTGTCTATGGTCCGCGTGTCTATGGTCCGTGTGTCTATGGTCCGCGTGTCTATGGTCCGCGTGTCTATGGTCCGCGTGTCTATGGTCCGCGTGTCTATGGTCCGCGTGTCTATGGTCCGCGTGTCTATGGTCCGCGTGTCTATGGTCCGCGTGTCTATGGTCCGCGTGTCTATGGTCCGCGTGTCTATGGTCCGCGTGTCTATGGTCCGCGTGTCTATGGTCCGCGTGTCTATGGTCCGCGTGTCTAGTCGTGTCTATGGTCCGTGTGTCTATGGTCCGCGTGTCTATGGTCCGCGTGTCTAGTGTGTCTATGGTCCGCGTGTCTATGGTCCGCGTGTCTATGGTCCGCGTGTCTATGGTCCGCGTGTCTATGGTCCGCGTGTCTAGCGTGTCTATGGTCCGTGTGTCTATGGTCCGCGTGTCTATGGTCCGCGTGTCTAGCGTGTCTATGGTCCGCGTGTCTATGGTCCGCGTATCAAGCGTGTCTATGGTCCGCGTGTCTATGGTCTGTGTGTCTATGGTCCGCGTGTCTAGCGTGTCTATGGTCCGTGTGTCTATGGTCCGCGTGTCTATGGTCCGCGTGTCTAGCGTGTCTATGGTCCGCGTGTCTAGCGTGTCTATGGTCCGCGTGTCTATGGTCCGCGTGTCTATGGTCCGCGTGTCTATGGTCCGCGTGTCTATGGTCCGCGTGTCTATGGTCCGTGTGTCTATGGTCCGCGTGTCTATGGTCCGCGTGTCTATGGTCCGCGTGTCTATGGTCCGCGTGTCTATGGTCCGCGTGTCTATGGTCCGCGTGTCTATGGTCCGCGTGTCTATGGTCCGCGTGTCTAGCGTGTCTATGGTCCTATGGTCGCGTGTCTATGGTCCGCGTGTCTATGGTCCGCGTGTCTATGGTCCGCGTGTCTATGGTCCGGTGTCTATGGTCCGCGTGTCTATGGTCCGCGTGTCTAGCGTGTCTATGGTCCGCGTGTCTATGGTCCGCGTGTCTAGCGTGTCTATGGTCCGCGTGTCGTGTCTATGGTCCGCGTGTCTATGGTCCGCTGTCTATGGTCCGCGTGTCTATGGTCCGCGTGTCTAGCGTGTCTATGGTCCGTGTCTATGGTCCGCGTGTCTATGGTCCGCGTGTCTAGCGTGTCTATGGTCCGCGTGTCTAGCGTGTCTATGGTCCGCGTGTCTAGCGTGTCTATGGTCCGCGTGTCTATGGTCCGCGTGTCTATGGTCCGCGTGTCTATGGTCCGCGTGTCTAGCGTGTCTATGGTCCGCGTGTCTATGGTCCGCGTGTCTATGGTCCGCGTGTCTATGGTCCGCGTGTCTATGGTCCGCGTGTATCTATGGTCCGCGTGTCTGCGTGTCTATGGTCCGCGTGTCTATGGTCCGCGTGTCTATGGTCCGCGTGTCTATGGTCCGCGTGTCTATGGTCCGCGTGGTCCTAGCGTGTCTATGGTCCGCGTGTCTATGGTCCGCGTGTCTATGGTCCGCGTGTCTATGGTCCGCGGGTCTATGGTCCGCGTGTCTATGGTCCGCGTGTCTAGCGTGTCTATGGTCCTTGTGTCTATGGTCCGCGTGTCTATGGTCCGCGTGTCTATGGTCCGCTTGTCTATGGTCCGCGTGTCTATGGTCCGCGTGTCTAGCGTGTCTATGGTCCGTGTGTCTATGGTCCGCGTGTCTAGTGTGTCTATGGTCCGTGTGTCTATGGTCCGAGTGTCTAGCGTGTCTATGGTCCGCGTGTCTAGCGTGTCTATGGTCCGCGTGTCTAGCGTGTCTACGGTCCGTGTGTCTATGGTCCGCGTGTCTATGGTCCGCGTGTCTAGCGTGTCTATGGTCCGCGTGTCTATGGTCCGCGTGTCTAGTGTGTCTATGGTCCGTGTGTCTATGGTCCGCGTGTCTAGCGTGTCTATGGTCCGCGTGTCTAGCGTGTCTATGGTCCGCGTGTCTAGCGTGTCTATGGTCCGCGTGTCTATGGGCCGCGTGTCTAGCGTGTCTATGGTCCGCGTGTCTATGGTCCGCGTGTCTATGGTCCGCGTGTCTATGGTCCGCGTGTCTATGGTCCGCGTGTCTAGTGTGTCTATGGTCCGCGTGTCTATGGTCCGCGTGTTAGGTCTATGGTCCGCGTGTCTATGGTCCGCGTGTCTAGTGTGTCTATGGTCCGCGTGTGTCTATGGTCCGCGTGTCTATGGTCCGCGTGTCTAGTGTCTATGGTCCGCGTGTCTATGGTCCGCGTGTCTATGGTCCGCGTGTCTATGGTCCGCGTGTCTATGGTCCGCGTGTCTAGCGTGTCTATGGTCCGTGTGTCTATGGTCCGCGTGTCTATGGGTCCGCGTGTCTAGCGTGTCTATGGTCCGCGTCGCGTGTCTATGGTCCGCGTGTCTATGGTCCGCGTGTCTATGGTCCGCGTGTCTATGGTCCGCGTGTCTATGGTCCGCGTGTCTAGCGTGTCTATGGTCCGTGTCTATGGTCCGCGTGTCTATGGTCCGCGTGTCTATGGTCCGTGTGTCTATGGTCCGCGTGTCTAGGGTCCGCGTGTCAGCGTGTCTATGGTCCGCGTGTCTATGGTCCGCGTGTCTAGTGTCTATGGTCCGCGTGTCTATGGTCCGCGTGTCTATGGTCCGCGTGTCTATGGTCCGCGTGTCTATGGTCCGCGTTCTGTCTATGGTCCGCGTGTCTATGGTCCGCGTGTCTATGGTCCGCGTGTCTAGGTCGTGTCTATGGTCCGCGTGTCTATGGTCCGCGTGTCTATGGTCCGCGTGTCTATGGTCCGCGTGTCTAGCGTGTCTATGGTCCGTGTGTCTATGGTCCGCGTGTCTATGGTCCGCGTGTCTAGCGTGTCTATGGTCCGCGTGTCTATGGTCCGCGTGTCTAGCGTGTCTATGGTCCGTGTGTCTATGGTCCGCGTGTCTATGGTCCGCGTGTCTAGCGTGTCTATGGTCCGCGTGTCTAGCGTGTCTATGGTCCGCGTGTCTAGCGTGTCTATGGTCCGCGTGTCTATGGTCCGCGTGTCTAGGCGTGTCTATGGTCCGCGTGTCTATGGTCCGCGTGTCTATGGTCCGCGTGTCTAGCGTGTCTATGGTCCGGTGGTCTATGGTCCGCGTGTCTATGGTCCGCGTGTCTATGGTCCGCGTATCTAGCGTGTCTATGGTCCGCGTGTCTAGCGTGTCTATGGTCCGCGTGTCTATGGTCCGCGTGTCTATGGTCCGCGTGTCTATGGTCCGTGTGTCTAGCTATGGTCCGCGTGTCTATGGTCCGCGTGTCTAGCGTGTCTATGGTCCGTGTGTCTATGGTCCGCGTGTCTATGGTCCGCGTGTCTATGGTCCGCGTGTCTATGGTCCGCGTGTCTATGGTCCGCGTGTCTATGGTCCGCGTGTCTATGGTCTGTCTAGTGTGTCTATGGTCCGTGTCTATGGTGTGTCTATGGTCCGCGTGTCTATGGTCCGCGTGTCTATGGTCCGCGTGTGTGTCTATGGTCCGTCTATGGTCCGCGTGTCTATGGTCCGCGTGTCTAGTGTGTCTATGGTCCGCGTGTCTATGGTCCGCGCGTGTCTATGGTCCGCGTGTCTAGGTCCGTGTCTATGGTCCGTGTCTAGCGTGTCTATGGTCCGTGTGTCTATGGTCTATGGTCCGCGTGTCTAGCGTGTCTAGGTCCGTGTCTATGGTCCGCGTATCAGCGTGTCTATGGTCCGCGTGTCTATGGTCTGTGTGTCTATGGTCCGCGTGTCTAGCGTGTCTATGGTCCGTGTGTCTATGGTCCGCGTGTCTATGGTCCGCGTGTCTAGGTGTCTATGGTCCGCGTGTCTAGCGTGTCTATGGTCCGCGTGTCTATGGTCCGCGTGTCTGGCGTGTCTATGGTCCGCGTGTCTATGGTCCGCGTGTCTATGGTCCGTGTGTCTATGGTCCGCGTGTCTATGGTCCGCGTGTCTATGGTCCGCGTGTCTATGGTCCGCGTGTCTATGGTCCGCGTGTCTATGGTCCGTGTGTCTATGGTCCGCATATCTAGCGTGTCTATGGTCCGCGTGTCTAGCGTGTCTATGGTCCGCGTGTCTATGATCCGCGTGTCTATGGTCCGCGTGTCTATGGTCCGTGTGTCTATGGTCCGCGTGTCTATGGTCCGCGTGTCTAGCGTGTCTATGGTCCGTGTGTCTATGGTCCGCGTGTCTATGGTCCGCTTGTCTATGGTCCGCTTGTCTATGGTCCGCGTGTCTAGCGTGTCTATGGTCCGTGTGTCTATGGTCCGCGTGTCTATGGTCCGCGTGTCTAGCGTGTCTATGGTCCGCGTGTCTAGCGTGTCTATGGTCCGCGTGTCTAGCGTGTCTATGGTCCGCGTGTCTATGGTCCGCGTGTCTAGCGTGTCTATGGTCCGCGTGTCTAGCGTGTCTATGGTCCGCGTGTCTATGGTCCGCGTGTCTAGCGTGTCTACGGTCCGTGTGTCTATGGTCCGCGTGTCTATGGTCCGCGTGTCTAGCGTGTCTATGGGCCGCGTGTCTATGGTCCGCGTGTCTATGGTCCGCGTATCTAGCGTGTCTATGGTCCGCGTGTCTAGCGTGTCTATGGTCCGCGTGTCTATGGTCCGCGTGTCTATGGTCCGCGTGTCTATGGTCCGTGGGTCTATGGTCCGCGTGTCTATGGTCCGCGTGTCTAGCGTGTCTATGGTCCTTGTGTCTATGGTCCGCGTGTCTATGGTCCGCGTGTCTATGGTCCGCTTGTCTATGGTCCGCGTGTCTATGGTCCGCGTGTCTAGCGTGTCTATGGTCCGTGTGTCTATGGTCCGCGTGTCTAGTGTGTCTATGGTCCGTGTGTCTATGGTCCGAGTGTCTAGCGTGTCTATGGTCCGCGTGTCTAGCGTGTCTATGGTCGCGTGTCTAGCGTGTCTACGGTCCGTGTGTCTATGGTCCGCGTGTCTATGGTCCGCGTGTCTAGCGTGTCTATGGTCCGTGTGTCTATGGTCCGCGTGTCTAGTGTGTCTATGGTCCGTGTGTCTATGGTCCGCGTGTCTAGCGTGTCTATGGTCCGCGTGTCTAGCGTGTCTATGGTCCGCGTGTCTAGCGTGTCTATGGTCCGCGTGTCTATGGGCCGCGTGTCTATGGTCCGCGTGTCTATGGTCCGCGTGTCTATGGTCCGCGTGTCTATGGTCCGCGTGTCTATGGTCCGCGTGTCTAGTGTGTCTATGGTCCGCGTGTCTATGGTCCGCGTGTCTATGGTCCGGTGTCTATGGTCCGCGTGTCTAGTGTGTCTATGGTCCGTGTGTCTATGGTCCGCGTGTCTATGGTCCGCGTGTCTAGTGTGTCTATGGTCCGCGTGTCTATGGTCCGCGTGTCTATGGTCCGCGTGTCTATGGTCCGCGTGTCTATGGTCCGCGTGTCTAGCGTGTCTAATGGTCCGTGTGTCTATGGTCCGCGTGTCTATGGTCCGCGTGTCTAGCGTGTCTATGGTCCGCGTGTCTATGGTCCGCGTATCTAGCGTGTCTATGGTCCGCGTGTCTATGGTCTGTGTCGTGTCTATGGTCCGCGTGTCTAGCGTGTCTATGGTCCGGTGTGTCTATGGTCCGCGTGTCTATGGTCCGCGTGTCTAGCGTGTCTATGGTCCGCGTGTCTAGCGTGTCTATGGTCCGCGTGTCTATGGTCCGCGTGTCTATGGTCCGCGTGTCTATGGTCCGGCGTGTCTATGGTCCGTGTGTGTCTATGGTCCGCGTGTCTATGGTCCGTGTGTCTATGGTCCGCGTGTCTATGGTCCGCGTGTCTAGCGTGTCTATGGTCCGTGTGTCTATGGTCCGCGTGTCTATGGTCCGCTTGTCTATGGTCCGCTTGTCTATGGTCCGCGTGTCTAGCGTGTCTATGGTCCGTGTGTCTATGGTCCGCGTGTCTATGGTCCGCGTGTCTAGCGTGTCTATGGTCCGCGTGTCTAGCGTGTCTATGGTCCGCGTGTCTATGGTCCGCGTGTCTATGGTCCGCGTGTCTATGGTCCGCGTGTCTAGCGTGTCTATGGTCCGCGTGTCTAGCGTGTCTATGGTCCGCGTGTCTAGCGTGTCTACGGTCCGTGTGTCTATGGTCCGCGTGTCTATGGTCCGCGTGTCTAGCGTGTCTATGGTCCGCGTGTCTATGGTCCGCGTGTCTATGGTCCGCGTATCTAGCGTGTCTATGGTCCGTGTGTCTAGCGTGTCTATGGTCCGCGTGTCTATGGTCCGCGTGTCTATGGTCCGTGGGTCTATGGTCCGCGTGTCTATGGTCCGCGTGTCTAGCGTGTCTATGGTCCCGTGTGTCTATGGTCCGCGTGTCTATGGTCCGCGTGTCTATGGTCCGCTTGTCTATGGTCCGCGTGTCTATGGTCCGCGTGTCTAGCGTGTCTATGGTCCGTGTGTCTATGGTCCGCGTGTCTAGTGTGTCTATGGTCCGTGTGTCTATGGTCCGAGTGTCTAGCGTGTCTATGGTCCGCGTGTCTAGCGTGTCTATGGTCCGCGTGTCTAGCGTGTCTACGGTCCGTGTGTCTATGGTCCGCGTGTCTATGGTCCGCGTGTCTAGCGTGTCTATGGTCCGTGTGTCTATGGTCCGCGTGTCTAGTGTGTCTATGGTCCGTGTGTCTATGGTCCGCGTGTCTAGCGTGTCTATGGTCCGCGTGTCTAGCGTGTCTATGGTCCGCGTGTCTAGCGTGTCTATGGTCCGCGTGTCTATGGGCCGCGTGTCTATGGTCCGCGGTGTCTATGGTCCGCGTGGTCTATGGTCCGCGTGTCTATGGTCCGCGTGTCTATGGTCCGCGTGTCTATGGTCCGCGTGTCTAGTGTGTCTATGGTCCGCGTGTCTATGGTCCGCGTGTCTATGGTCCGCGTGTCTATGGTCCGCGTGTCCTATGGTCCGCGTGTCTATGGTCCGCGTGTCTAGTGTGTCTATGGTCCGTGTGTCTATGGTCCGCGTGTCTATGGTCCGCGTGTCTAGTGTGTCTATGGTCCGCGTGTTTATGGTCCGCGTGTCTATGGTCCGCGTGTCTAGCGTGTCTATGGTCCGTGTGTGTCTATGGTCCGCGTGTCTATGGTCCGCGGTCTAGTGTGTCTATGGTCCGCGCAGTGTCTATGGTCCGCGTGTCTAGCGTGGTCCGCGTGTCTATTGGATCTGTGTCTATGGTCCGCGTGACTAGCGTGTCTATGGTCCGCGTGTCTATGGTCGTGTCTATGGTCCGCGTGTCTATGGTCCGCGTGTCTATGCGTGTCTATGGTCCGCGTGTCTATGGTCCGCGTGTCTATGGTCCGCGTGTCCTAGCGTGTCTATGGTCCGTGTGTCTATGGTCCGCGTGTCTATGGTCCGCGTGTCCTATGGTCCGCTGTGTCTATGGTCCGCGTGTCTAGCGTGGTCCGCTGTGTCTATGGTCCGCAGTGTCTATGGTCCGTGTGTCTAGCGTCCGCTATGGTCCGCGTGTCTATGGTCCGCGTGTCTAGCGTGTCTATGGTCCGCGTGTCTATGGTCCGCGTGTCTATGGTCCGCGTGTCTATGGTCCGCGTGTCTATGGTCCGCAGTGTCTATGGTCCCGCTTGTCTACGGACTATGGTCCGCGTCTATGATCCGCGTGGTACTATTGTCCGCGTGTCTAGCCGTGTTCTATGGTCCGCGTGTCTATGGTCCGCGTGTCTATGTCTCGCGTGTCTATGGTCCGTGTGTCTATGGTCCGCGGTCTATGGTCCGCGCTGTCTAGGTCGGTGTCTAATGGTCCGCGTGTCTATGGTCCGCTGTCTAGCGTGTCTATGGTCCGCGTGTCTATGGTCCGCGTGTCTATGTGTCTATGTGTCCGCGTGTCTATGGTCCGTGTGTCTCTATGGTCCGCGTGTCTATGGTCCGCGTGTCTAGCGTGTCTATGGTCCGCGTGTCTAGTGTGTCGTGTGTCTATGGTCCGCGTGTCTAGCGTGTCTATGGTCCGCGTGTCTATGGTCCGCGTGTCTATGGTCCGCGTGTCTATGGTCCGCGTGTCTATGGTCCGGCGTGTCTATGGTCCGCGTGTCTATGGTCGCGGTCTATGGTCCGCGTGTCTATGGTCCGCGTGTCTATGGTCCGCGTGTCTAGCGTGTCTATGGTCCGCGTGTCCGCGTGTCTATGGTCCGCGTGTCTATGGTCCGCGTGTCGCGTGTCTATGGTCCGCGTGTCTAGCGTGTCTATGGTCCGCGTGTCTATGGTCCGCGTGTCTATGGTCCGCGCGTGTCTATGGTCCGCGTGTCTATGGTCCGCGTGTCTATGGTCCGCGTGTCTAGCGTGTCTATGGTCCGTGTGTCTATGGTCCGCGTGTCTAGCGTGTCTATGGTCCGCGTGTCTATGGTCCGCGTGTCTATGGTCCGTGGTCTATGGTCCGCGGTGTCTATGGTCCGCGTGTCTAGCGTGTCTATGGTCCGTGTGTCTATGGTCCGCGTGTCTATGGTCCGCGTGTCTATGGTCCGCGTGTCTATGGTCCGCGTGTCTAGGTGTCTATGGTCCGCGTGTCTATGGTCCGCGTGTCTATGGTCCGCGTGTCTAGCGTGTCTATGGTCCGCGTGTCTATGGTCCGCGTGTCTAGCGTGTCTATGGTCCGCGTGTCTATGGTCCGCGTCTATGTCTAGCGTGTCTATGGTCCGCGTGTCTATGGTCCGCGTGTCTAGCGTGTCTATGGTCCGCGTGTCTATGGTCGCGTGTCTAGGTCGTGTCTATGGTCCGCGTGTCTATGGTCCGCGTGTCTATGGTCCGCGTGTCTATGGTCCGCGTGTCTAGCGTGTCTATGGTCCGCGTGTCTATGGTCCGCGTGTCTATGGTCCGCGTGTCTATGGTCCGCGTGTCTATGGTCCCGTGTGTCTATGGTCCGCGTGTCTAGTGTGTCTATGGTCCGTGTGTCTATGGTCCGCGTGTTTCTCCGATGGTCCTATTT